AAACTACAAGTCTATAAATATTGCCTTTGAAAGAGGGCAAAAAATGCACATAAATAATTTTGATTAAGAGTTGCTCTTTGAAGAAACAAATCAGTTATTCGGAATAATAGTAACAAAATAAAAAAATATATATTTGTGAATCTAAAGTTCCGTTTAAATCCAGTAAGTAAGTATAAAAAATATATTGAATTGAGATAAATCGATTTGGATCCAGATCTGTCACTGTTCGAGATTTACACAACGTGTACGAATTTATTACACATTGTTTTCCAACTATGAAACTGAACATATTATTTGTTCGTTTTTTACTTTTGCGCTTGTGCATATCCAACTAGCATTATATGAATACCTATATGACAGTAGGAAAAGAAAAAGATTTTTTTCTGTTTAATTTTTTTGTCTTCCTTTACACGATGTATCTGATGTGGTCGACTAAATAGAGAATTGATTTCTCTATCAAATGGTATAAGTTTTATTAATGGAATATAATCAGGTAGAGAGAAACTCTCTCTTCAACCTTTGCTATTAGTCATATATGTGTACGATGATATGAAAAAAAAAATCTTTTTTTTCTATTCAGTTTTTTTCCTACACATGAGTAATGCATCGAATCTGATGGACTAAATAGAGAATTCAATTCTCTATCAAACGATATAAATGTTATCACTGGATCATATACAGATAGAGAGATATTCTCTCCCTAATGCTAACCGTTACAAATACATATATATGTACATATATGTATATATGAATACGTAATGATAAGAAAAGAAAAGATTTTTTTTCTGTTCAATTTTCTTTTCACAGTATATGCGATGTGTCGGATGCGGTGAACTAAATAGAGAATTTAATTATCTATCTAATGATATAAGTTTTATCAATGGAACATAATCCGACAGAGAGAAACTCTCTTCTCAACCTTTATCATTTGCCATATATCTGTATGATGGCACGAAAAACAAAGATTTTTTTGTTTCATTTTTAATTCCTAGGCATGAGCAACCCATCGGATCTGATGGAATAAATAGAGAATTCAATTCTCTATCAGATGATATAGGTTTTATCACTGAAACAATCGGCTAGAAAGAAACTATCTCCTCAACCTTTTCGATTAGCCATATATGTGTATAATGATATGAAAAAAAAGATTTTTTTGTGTTTCGTTTTTTTTCTGGTAGCATACAAGATGTATCGGTTGTGATGGACCAAATAAAGAATTGGTTTCTCTATCGAGCGATATAACTTTTATGGGTGAAACAGTTTGGAATAGAGAGAAACTCTCTCATCAATGTTTACGGGTTTATATATTACATATATGTCTATATGCAAGGATAGTAGTTTTACGTAAATTCAATGGAGATAAGCTGATTTGAATTTAAATTTTTTAGATGAAATTTGATAATCAATTGCGACATAGAAAATTTTAAAAAAATGAAGAAAAATATGTAGTAAGAATTATTCGATTGTTAAGTTGTAAAAGTTAGTTAAGTACGAAAATTAGAAAGCGAATATAAAACCATGAAAGTATATATGATTTAGATTAAATTGATAATGATTATTGAAATGATTATTGAAAGTTATTTTATACAAAATGTGCAATGTGGATGATAAGAAATCAATCATTCTTGTTGTATATTATTAATATTAATTTATTTTTTTTAATTTTGATGACTATTATTGCTGATGTTGACCCATTGTATATCAATATTATGAAGAGAACTTATGGTTACTTCAAGTTCTTCTTCATATACAATATCATCAGCAAAAATCATAATCGTCATCACAATCGTTGTAATTATCGGAACCATTATAATCATCTTCGAAATGATAATACTCATCTTCCGAATCATAATATTCATCATCATCGTCATCATCATCACCATATGGTACATGTGGTGCAGGCTATGGAAGAAGAGATACGTCAAATATATGTTAATATATAGGGTAGTTCAAAAAAATATTGGACAGTCTATGATCGGGAGTAACTTTCGATAGGGACAGAATAAAGAGCTTTGGTTCTCACCACCAGAAAGAGAGGATGATGACACATCGAAGCGTATACTAGAAATTTTTTTGAAGTGATTTCTTAAGTTTTTTTAGTAATTTTTTTAAAAATGGAGTAAAAAAAATCAAATCTTTTTTAAACAAAAAAAGCAAAAAAGTCGTTTTCTCATAGAGATTCCTATAAAAATCAACAAAGACTTTCAATCAGAAGACATATAATCTATAGAAGATTAAATATAAAAGGCTGTGCTGTGAGTAGTTTTATGTATGTTCGATTAGCAGTATCGAATATGCTTCTGGTTCTTAAAAATTGACTATATCCATCTTAGCGAATATATTGGTTTTTTAAAAAGTAAATTTAAAGTTTTAAAAATATCAGGTTAGGTTCTCTTATTGTATGCGATTGGATGTGTCATTATCAAATCTTTCGAATAATGAAAACCGCAGCTCTCTATTCTTCTGCCAGCAAAAGTTTTTCGTAATCAAAGGCTGTCCGGTAACTTTAGAACAACCCATAGATTTCTAGAAAAATTTGTACCTCAGGTCTGATGGTGACATCGAGTTGTAACAATTCACACTCTGCTAGCCAGATATTTGGAAACAGAGGTGGCCAGTGAATTTCATATTCACCTGGTCTCTCCCCTTCCATATCTACAAAAAAAATACTTTGCAAATATACTCTTTACTTTTTAAAAAGCATTCTTACAATGAGCCACGGTATGTGTGGTTCGGTACACTGGCTCTCCAGCCAAGTAGCCGATGTGTACCAAAGCACCGGTTGATCCGTGTCCATCATCGACATAATCGAGTAATATAGGCTCGACTGCGACTAAGTTATGGTTCATTAGAAATCCGTATTGGAGGATATTATTAGCAATATTATTGGCAACGTTATTTGGTTGCATAGTTCCAATATTAGTTTATATAAAAATCTAAAAAAATTACCAGTTATACGTCGTTTTTATTAAGGGTGTCGATAAAAAAAGAACGTTGATCATCAACAAACTCAAAAGAAGTGCCTGTTACGCTGATTCACTTTTGTATATATCAATCCATTGCTACTCATAACGTTCTTATCAATTCCAAATCAAAACAATTAAACATTTTAGAAATGTGCGCATCAGCTATAGCAAACTGCAGAACAAACGAGCGTCATTCATGTAATATCTTTAACACTTATCGGATCAATTAATCATGAGTAGAGATTCCAATTTGTATAGCTTATACTGACAAATTGCATTTTGATAAACACATCATACGTATATATCACGTTGGATTACTCTTAGATAAGACATCATTCCTAAAAATATTCTTCCTCATTCATAAAATAAATTTCCAAAAACTTAGCAAAGTTTTAATAATGAAAATGTATCTCATCAATTTATTTTTTAAGATAGTTTGTTCAGATTGCCCATCAATAAAATATTCAACAAAGATTGACTATTTGACTATCAATAATATCATAGAAAACATGGAATCGTTTCTAATTAGCTTCCAGAAAAGAACACGTTTGTTATTATATACCATTGTCACATATATATTAAATAAAATTATATTAGAGAAATGTTTAATTAAACTTCAAAATTAGTAGAAGCCAATCCATCAAAAATATGAATTGATTATTCAGAAGTATATCAACAAAAGAAAAAATGTACAGAGAATTTTGATCGTAGCGACTGAAAAAAACGAATATAACGAATTATTCTGGAAGACAAGGAAAAAAAATTCGCAACAATTCAATCGACATCGTGTTTCGCAATATAAATCGACATAATGTAATGTTGGAACTTTGGAGAATTTGAAGAATTTGAAGAATTATTATCTTTTAAATTTTAAAACGGTTATTGTTGGTTTTATTGTTGATGTTCAATATTATTTATTTACACATCGATCTGCACGTCCTATACCTCCTCACATATAAATGAATTTTTTATTTATACATGCCAAACTTACATCGATTACTTCGAGATTTAAAACTTGGACTAGTTTCTGAAATACGCAATGTATCTAATAACTGTGATTTCTTTTTTGACAATGTTGGTTTATCTAGTTGATCACGCTGCAAAATTCCATACTAAAATTGATTGATTATATCGCACGCTTTTTTCTCTTTTTACGAAGGTAATTCATTGTTATTTGAACGATTTTTAATAATTGATGGTCGTTTATTTTCAGCATCACTTCACATTTTTAAAAATCTCACTTTTCTCCTAAGTTCATTGATCGAATTTATTATATTATTAATTATTACTCAATATACAACAACCATTGTAATATCACCGAATTCATTTTCGATTTTTATCTTTTAAGCTACAGATAGCGCATAAAGTATTAATATCTGACATCGATATTTCTTCGTTGCGAGAAAAGATCTATCTTTGACGAAAAAACTTTTTATAACCTTCACCGATGATAAGATTATCATTGATGTTTATATATGTAGTTTTTTCTTTTCCTTTTCTGCCGCTCTATCACATTTGACAGCTGTCAAAATAGTATACATTCTATGTTCTCTCTCCTCTCCCCTTCTCTTCTCTTCTATATGCTACTATGAGAATAAATCTTATTACCATCAGAAAAGATATAACAAAGCAAATTATATAGATTTGTTTAATCATTTCATTCCATAATTCTTTTCAAAATATAGATCCAAATGGGAAATCTGAACATTCTAAATCAATGATTACTTTAAAGTTCATGATAAAATATACTAATTGATATAGTTACAGAAAATACATTGCTGTTTGAAACAATATTCACGTTCAAACCAAGTATCTATTTTTTGATTTGTTCTCTCCGTAGCTTCAAATCTTAAGGTGCAAATTTGCATCGTCCGAACTGAAAGAGTTTAAAGAAGATTTATCTCAGATAATATATGTGTATGTTAGTAAAAATAATGCAAAAATCAAAAGTTTAATCAACGTAAAATAATTCATTTTGGTAATATGTTTTTTTCTTTTCAATACAATTTCATGACAATTCAATAATTATCTTTCTTATTTAGCTGGCTGTGCTTGATTGATCTGCTTATCATTATCATTATTGGTTTTCACAATATTATAATGATCTTCGTTTTGATTTATATTTGCATTACAATCATTATTATCATCGAGAATTTTAGACGAATTTAAATTAAGTTTAACGAGTTTATCCTAAAAAGGCAATATATCTACTCAATATTTGAACATCAAATTAGCTTCTTACATATTCACGAAATAAGACACGATTGGATTCGTCGTCTTCCTTTGTTGTTTTATTGAAGTCATCTAACAAACAGATGAATAATATATGAAAAACTTCATATTAGTCTGATATCATTTACTATTCTTTGAATAAGCAGATTCAAAAGCACTATTATCAGATGTTAATGACTGAGCACACCATGTTTTATTTTGCTCTAGATTAAAACAAATCTATATATTATTTTCAATTTTGAGTCATTAATATCTAACCATTTATTTCTTTCAATGAAATGGATGTGAATGGATAACCAGCTCGAAATTCATCATCGTCCATATCCAACGGCCATTTGATAAAATTGACTGTTGGTATATCGTCCTTATTTGAACTAATATGATCAGAATTGTTGTTCATATTTTATCGAAGTACTTCTTTTTTAAATGAGTTTTTATTTTGAGAGATATCTAGAAAATAAGCATGTGATATTTCCTGATTTTCAATGTATATTATATTAGACAAATATGCTTCTTTTTATGATTCTAATGACAATTACCACAATAGCTAGATTATTGCGTTCATGTATGTACATCATTAACATGCTAGACTATTTCCATTTGTTTTGCAATGATTAAATACTGAAAATATTGATTAACAAAGCATCATAAGCTGCAAGTTGCATACAGAGATTGGTCTCAAAAATATAAAACAATTTCTACTACTCAACTTTAGTTTTTTGATGAATAATCTTCTTCACTGAACATCGCTTTTCATTTATTTTTCATTTTTTTATCTTACGTATTTATTCAGATAATCTTTTGTCCGTATCTTTTATCTTATTAATGAATATTTGAAAGAAATTTTTCCTATATCTATTCGTGCTGAAATAAATAAATATAATGATGAATAGTCGCTACCTTATTTTGTTCGGAATGCTACTTAAAAATCGATACATCGAAAGAAAAGTAATGCCTGTTCAAGTACTTTCAAAGGGATTTTAATGACATTTTATATTTTCTTTTTTTTATATTGTTTAAAATACTGTACAATTACTAAAGAGACGCATTCGTTACAGTATTTTCATGCTAAGACATCGGAAATATGATTTTCAGGAGCATAAAAGATAAAAGGTTGTGTTGAAAAATTAATTAAGGAAAAAGAAAAAGAGAACAGGTTTTACCAATATAGACTATCGAAAAAAGAAAAGAACTAGTTTTGCATGCTATCATATTATATTGATGATATTTATAGGAATGCTAATGTTCGTTTTATTTATATTTAACTGGTCTATTGGAACTTTCACTTCTTGACATGATGCGTATGTATTACATTAATATACGCTCCCCAAGAAATTGTCAATTACAGCACTTCACATTAATAAGAAAATAATCACCGTATAAGTAAGTCTTTTGCTGTGACTTTTCATTAAAAAGTTTATTTCTTTTAATAATATGTATATATGGGGTTGCTCAGTCTGGCCAGATACCCCAATTCTTTTTATCATCAAAGTGTTTCTAAAATATATCAAATAGCAGTAATTTTTTTACCAGTTATAGTACTCGTGCAGTGCTAACGATCTGGCAAGGACGAATGGTCTATAACATGTTCGAAACTAAAATAATCAAGTGTCTTTAGAAAATCCGTTGGTATTTATGAGCATATTTCCTGAAGACACTTGATTGTTTTAGTTTCGAACATGTTATAGACCTTTTGTCCTTGGTGGATCGGTAGCATTGTACGAGCACTATAACTGATAAAAACATCACTGCTATTTGATATATTATAGAAACACTTTGATGATAAAAAGAATTGGGGTATCCGGCCAGACTGAGCAACCCCATATATATATATATATATATATATATGCAAGCAATTAATACCACTACGACTGCTCTCATTGTACACTCATTGTATGCTATTTTTATTTTCTTTCTAGATGCGATAGAACGAGAAAAAGTAATTGATTCCAACAATGCTACTATTTTTTATATTCTTCTAATTATCAAAATGCAGGTGATGAACTTGTATTAATTATTCTATTGACGTATATCATTTTTTCTACTTCTATAGTCAAATTAAGCTAAAGAAACGACTCGATTGACGAAATTTTGTAATAAATTAAAGATTCAAAATCAACTGCCACTACTAAATGTTTATTGGTATATTTATTAAGAAAAAAAGATTAACCATGAGTACATTATATTTATATCGAAGTGGCTATGTGTATATGAGTGTACATATCCGACTGGCTATGTACATATGAGTGCACACAGCTACTTCCTATTTATATATGTATAGATACAAAATTGTGTGAACTGTGATCATCTTAAAATAAATGAAAATTTTTATAACTTATGACAAAATTTGGAAATGAACAACATACTTGAATATTATACGTGGTGATTCAATGCCACATCTTTGACAAAATGTTATCATATGCATATTCACGAAACTAACAATCGGAGCGTTCTACATGACTGCAGGAAAAATAAACGGCTTCATTTTTTTTATCAACATATCAATAGGAAGATCACAGAGAACGCACACTGGCTCATCTGATACGGTCATCATCCTACAGATTATATCGAATAGTCCATGAAATATGCACATATATCGAACAGTCTATGAAATAGGCATATACTCATCTTACTTATAATAATGTACTGCGAAATAATCGATAGATGATATTTTTCTCTTTAAAATTAAATTAAGAACTAAAGTATATTTTGATCTAAAAGCAAACATAATCGAAAAGTAAAGACAAGAACAATTTGATGATAATAGTTAAATAATATTCATATCTACTCTAACGCGTGAATAATATAATATTTTGATTAAAATGCTAAATAAATTTGCATGCACACAAAAAAAAGAGATATTGTTTATTTTTTCTTGCTAATATACCAGACCATTAAATACCATGTTTACGTTCAAATTCGAGCGTAAATGCTAAAAGCTCTTCATCGGTAATTTCTGGAATTGGTACACGCATTGTAGCTGCGCTCACAAATTTTGGTGGAGTGGTATTTCCATCAGAAGCCATCGGGACTCTTTGTTCAAGCATAGGAGTTTCTATTTTCTTTTTTTTTGCTTGAACATTCAGATCTTCTGTTGAAGATCGTTTTTCTGGATTTGATGACTTTGATGCCTAAAAATATTTTTATTAAGAAGTTAGAAGAAAATAAAATCTCACTGCGGTGTCATCGTTCAATTCGACCTGTTCAAAAGACTTGTTCGTATCCAATGACTTTTCTACAAACAAAAACGTTTGTTTGAAAATAAACTGTTCATTTTTTCTGCTTTCTTACTTGGTGAATTTGACATATTCACGAGTTTAATTGATAAATAATTATCAGCTTATATAATTCGAATAATCTAAATATTTAGTAAAAATATAGCTAAAACGTTAATATTTCGATTCTTTTATTCATTTATCGTATATATGTATACATAAAGTAAATAACGAACACACATATAATTTTTAGAGTAAATATAGGAATAAAACTATTACCAAAATCAAGAAATCAAAACTAATGTGTACTTTTAAAATATTTTCTTACAATAAACAAAACAAATGAATTTAAAATATCAATAAAGGACATCTGTCTATTCGAATTTTTGAGAGCAAATTCGTTTTATAAAAGTTTCTTGAAATCGATGAGGATCGACGCTGGGAAACGGCCATAGACGCGGCTCATAGGTGATTATAATGATTTGAATTTCACCATCATCATTCATGATTTCTCGTGTTTCTTCTTTCTTCTCTTCGAGAACAGTTTTATTCATGATATCAATATACAAAACATTGTCAAATTCTTTCGGTTCGAGGAAAACAAATCCTCGTTGACAATATCGAATAATCCGTTCACATATACCTTTTTCCATATCTCCATGCATTGTATAGCATATGAATGAATTTGTCGCAATCGCCTGTAGAAAAGCGATTGTGCAGAATATACGTGAACCTATTGAGAACATAGTTAATAATATTTCATTTATTTTAATTTGACTCACCTGTGAACGCTACTTGACTAACATCGAGGTCACTAGAATAAAGTACATAGCTCACAGGATTTGTTTTTTCAGGAACATCTTTAAAATTAAATCGTAACTTAATATCAAAAGGTAGTATTGCAGTGTAAATACTGCTGCTCTTTTTTATTAATGTTGCACTTAAACGATGATCGTTCTTTGACAAAATTGATGTTAAATTACTAAATACATTAGCAACGGCACCTTCGAACTCGCTCAATGAGTTGCCGTTGAAATTTATATCTACTTGTCCAAGAGCAGTATCTGGAAATGGTTGTTTGCAAAGACTATTAACGATGCATCCACCGGAGATGTGAAATTTCGTGAAATCAATCGCTTCAATCCACATAGGAGACTTGAAACGAGTTGCAAAGTTAGTCATAAACTCAGCAATAGATTCAACAAATGATGATTCTTTGTTTAAATTATTTTTTTGAAGTGATCGGAAAAATGAACATTCTAAATTAAAAGAATATTATGCATAGAAAATATTGATTGAGAATGTGAATTCAAATAAATAATCTATTGTTGTGCTGGTAAACTTTTTGCTCTGTTTTCACCAAATCACATCAAAAAATGCTTTTCGCCGTTAAATTTGTCATGTATTATATTTAATCCAAACTTCAGAGCACTCTTTTTCATCTCTTGTTATTTATTATTTAACTTTTCTTCTTTTTGTACGATATTATAATTTCTTTTTTTTCTTTCATTTAATGTCGATGTACAGATCATTTACGAATATCATGTATATGAAGGTCATTTTTTTTCTTTCTCTTTCTCCTTCTCCTTCTCTTTCTCTTTCTCCTTCTCCTT